TATATAATGATATAATATCTTGTACGGAAATCAGGGGTCTTTTTCATGCTAAATTCTATCATTTTGATCATCACAAATGACAAAACTTTTGAGTAAATTATAGTTTTCGTCCCTATGTTTTACCTAATACTGTAAGCTTGGTCTAAATTTTGACATTATTTCAAAATAGCCTTTAACTTTAAATTTTATTATAAATGAGTTTTATTCATTAGACAAAATTATAAGTTAAGTCAAAAACTCAATGTCATTTCTTATGGGTTAGGGTAAATATTCGTAATAAAAATACAAACTTAATTGAGCTATTGTTGACTGATTTTGGCATTTTGTTAGTCTTAAAATAACATTTGGAAGTTGGTTTAAAACTGAGATCGGTTGGATCCACACTACAAAAAAAAAATCGATCATTATTAAGGACAAAATTTGTCGCTAAAAACAAATCTCATCATTGCTAAAGGAAATAGCAGCGACAAATAACCGTTATTATTCTATCACTGTTGCTTCAAGATTTCGTATTGCATAAATTAGGGTTGACTTCATATTGTCGGTTCAGATCAGTTCATGACTCCTCAGTTTTCAACCGGTCAGATCTTCAACACTTTCTGTTAATTAGTTCACACTGGTTTTGTACATATACAAAACTTAAAGACAACATTTGTATAATTTCAAATTTTAGATTGAAACTCGCAATTTTTGTAAAAAGAAAAAAGATAAAGACCAAAATTATAATTTACTTAGAATTTACATATACAAGTCAAATAAAGTTGAACATACCCAATGCATGAAAGGAATAGATAATCCATGAACTTATTTAATCTTGTTTAATGCAGATCATATCTGCTTAATTACTTTTTAGGTGGTTTAGTGGTGGCTTTCAAGAGAAGGGAAAAAAAATACAAACTAAAAAGGTTCAAATTTTGGTGGAGAAATTGGAATGTGCACTGACAATATTGGTGTGCTTCTATATAGAAACTGTATAATTTTTTTAACAAGACTACAAGAGTCGTTATCTATACTTTCAAGAAAGAATTTATAAATGTTATGTCATGTAATAATTATACTCCGTATCATATAAAAAATATGTTCTATAATATTCATTCCTATTCTTTTCCAATATGCTTTTATAGTGATTGTTTGTGTTTTTTTTAATAATTATTTTAGTGTAGAATTTCAATGTCCTTATGAATGTTAGACGATCTTATTGTTACAACTAATATATATTACTTCCTGATTATATATTAAACATCTAATTATATATGTGATTCCTTGATAATTATAGCCATGGTAATAAATAAATAAATAAATAGGTTTTATAAAAACCGTCGTCGTAAATATAATATTTTATAACATAATTATCATATAATATGTTATGATACACTTTATTGGTGGAGGACAATTGGATTAGTAGTAAATTATTTTAAGCGTCGTAATTTATGAGTGTGATTTGGTATCAGCAATAACATTAGCATGGGTGGGGTTATACTTATACAACACAAAGGCGATTAGATACACCATTAACATCGCAAGGGTAAATTGGTAATATGATATGAATCCATTTCTTACACATAAAAGAATCTCCAATAAAAGCAAGTAAAAGCTTTTCTTATGACTTATTGCTATTAATCAACTGCTTAAAATGATTTAATATTATTAAGCAAATAAAAGCTTTTCTTATGGCTTATTGCTATTAATCAACTACCTAAAACTATTTAATATTGTTGGGTCGTATGATTTATTTTATTACTATTTATCAACCATTTAATTATTAATTATTAATTATAATATTTATTTTGTCTTTTCGTTTTATTTTTTTATCATATTTTATATTTAACGTTTTGTTACTAATCATCAACCACTTAATATTTGTTTTCTATTTTATCAACCATTTAATATTCTTCTACCATTTAATTATATAGTTTGTAAAAATAATATAAATATAAATATAATGAGTTTAGAAATAACAATTAAAGAAAATATGATTAAAATGTTTCAAATAGGTAAATATTAAGAGAAATTTATAAATTTAGCAATTTTCTTTAATTAATTTGCAAAAAATAGCCAAAAAACCCAACATTACATAAAATGTCATCGAAATCGCAGTTGGGTTAGAGCCATCTGCGATTTTGGCATTTGATATGCGAAGGTATAAGCATTTAAAGCGTATGTATGAATACAAATTCCTAAATATTTTTTGGAACCTTCATTTTTTGTTGATTTTTCTTTGGGTAAACTCTCTCAAGCCTTTCAAAGAAAGCTATGGAAGTCAAATCTATCATTTTCGTAGTTAAAAAAAAAAAAAAAATCAACGTAAAATTACAGATGAAGGCAGGGTAAATTGCAGATGAACCCACACTGCATACCCATGCTTTAAACGCTTGCACATTCGCAAATCAAATGTCAAAATCGCAGATGGCTCTAATCTTTGTACGATTTTGATGGTTACTTTTGTAATGTTGAGTTTTTTTTTTACTATTTTCTATAAAGTAATTAAGAAAAATGGTTAAATTTGTAATTTTCTCGAATATAAATAATTGATTTATTTTAAGTCATAAAATGAGCTTATGCGTTGGAAAGGATTTATAAAAGATATGTTTTTTTAGTAAAAACAGTACAAACAAGTTTTCTATCAGTTTTTCCTTTTATTTCTACCACTCACTTCTGAGAGCATATAAAAACTTATATGTTTCAATTTTTAATTTTAAAATAAATACAAATTCATTAAAATCATACAAAACTATTTTGATACAAGTTTTTATGCATGAAGTACAACTATTTTTGTAGAGTGAGAAAAGAAAAGTGGGTTGTTTAACCAATCAATAATCATAGATTGGAGGTACCGATGTCTTTGGTATTGATTATTTTATATGGAATTTATGGATTAGGGGAGACAAATATATTAGTGACTATGAAAATAATACCAGCACATGTATTTTTGTTTTATCAATATAAAGTGTTTTTGTTAAAAAAAAAAATGTAGTAAGTGTCTTAAAATCGATAAAACAAACCCATGTATAAAGATTGTTTTTATGGTTTAAATAAACTATGTTGTATGCAATAAGACAAAGGTCTATTTATTGCTTTACAAAAAATCTTTTGACAACGATTTGAGGCATTGGTAGGTTGATAAAGGGATGTCTAGATTTGATTTGTGTAAAACCTAATTATAATTTATAATCGTGACATCTATACAAAACTCCAAAGACCAAAAGAGATTGATTTTATAATGTGACCTAATTATGAGTTTGATAACAATTAGCTATTAAGTTGGTTTCATATCTAATAAGAGAGAGTAAATGGAGATCTATGAATCAAAGACAAAACCAGCTACAAATTAAAGGGGGGTTTAGTGAAAGGGTTATTTTGTTTTTTCTTTAAGCAAATTTAATATATTTGATTTTTATTTGTGTGTATACTTTCAAATTAAAGATTTCAAGCTTTATATTTTTTTTAAAAAAAATTATATATTATTTTAGTAACCAGAATTGACCGGGGTATTAAAATATTTATAGAAAAAATAGAACTAATAATCGTAAAAGGATTGAAATAGAATTTGTGGGCATTTTCAGTTTATCAAGATTTATAACATCTTTATAAAATAAATAAAAGTAGTTGATAAAAAAAAATGGTTATGTTTTATAATAATAGAATTATGTTTGACATATTATTTGCTACCTGATAAACTAGTTGACAAAAAAAATAACGTTTGATAGAAACTAACTTACGAGTTAACTAAGAAATACAATGTTGTATTATAATTGAATTGAAATTTTGTGCTCGATGTGTTGTGAACATATGAAATAGAGCATTTCTTACAGATAGTGATTCATTGTTTTCACTATAATTATATATTGAGATCTCCATATGTTTAAAATAATTTTTTTAATTGATATGTATATTTATTTGGAGCAATAAATCTAATCTATTTTAAAACTACTATGGAATTTATCCGGACAACACATTTATTTTTACTATTTAAAATATATATAGCATATATTTCCATGAAAACCATTTATATATAGTTTTTGTTTTACGAAAGTTTAATTCAAAAGATAATATTTTTTATCAATTTAATAATATTCAGTCTTCTTATTATAGATAAACACCATATTTGGATGATCCATTTATTCTTTCAAATCAATCAACCCTCATATTAGAATGTAACAACTCATTCCATTATCTCACTTATCCAATTACGTTTGCTCATTTTTTTACCTTTATAACTCCATTTCACAAAACACACTTTAAATACAAGCATAAATTTTATAAAGATCCAATAATATCCTAACCTTCAACTTCATGATGATTTGCATGATCCCCACTCGTATATAACCAAACTTCCACTTGTTTGCATGGCAAAAATTTCTACAAACACTCTCGAAGCTTAGTCTTCTGTTAGAATATCTCATAAATTGATATTATAAAACACCAAAATAAAAATAAAACAAGTTGAATAACAAGTTTTGTGCTAAATTCTCCTGATCGTTCTTTCAATTTGTGTCGCTAAATGGCTTAGCGTCTTCATCTATTTATCTTTTAAAATCATTCTTGCTTCTTCTTGGAATGATGACATAAAGATCCTAGAATATTCCTTTGATTCTATCTCTATCTTTTGCTTAACATAAACGAGTTGTTTGGGGAAAAAAATTAAACCTATCCTTCATTTAGTTCTTACATTTGTTAAATGATTTATAAAAATATTTTAGGCTTATAAAAAGAATTCAACAATACTTTTTTATTAGGTTAGTTTTTGTCTTAAATATTCTTCCAACTTATAACAACTTGAAACAATAATTTTGACTAATATGCAAACGTTTCTATGTAATATACCCATTAAAACATTAAATTTTATTAGAAAACTTTTGTGTTGTAACAACATAAATCACATTGACCTTGTAGACATTAATTTTAAAAGTGCAAATTGTTATAAATACAAATGTAAATCGATGGAAAACTATTAGGGTTCATTACTAAAACAACCAAAAGGAAAGTATATATCAAATTTCATAAAAACCAATGTAGTTACTTTTTTCGATTTAATTTTTGCCATGTATGTTAAAAATACCAACATACTTCCATACCAAAAAAAAAAAAAAAAAAACACTTGCCCAATCTTTTTTTATTTATTTTGTTCGATTATAATGAGCATTGAAAATGCAAAAGTCAACCAAAACAAAGTCAATTCAAAATACTTAATACCAAATTTTTCATCAAGTTGAATTTTTTAATCACCTCAATTAAGGAACTCTTTGTAAACCTCACATACACTAATTAAAATTGCACATAATACATTTTTGGGTTATGTATAAATATAAGTAAATATAAAATAATGTTTTGTGGCAAAAATTTCAGCAAAAAAAAAAACAAACAAATAAATTATCTTATTTGGAATCTTGTCCACCAGAAAGAAGAGCATCTGCTGCAGAATCCAAATCATGGGGAAAGAAAACCCTGCACAGATACAAATAGTTTCATTTTATGCATCCAAAAATAAAGAAAACATTTTCTTTTTTAACAAAGTAAAATCCAAAATATATTTTTTTGCTCATTAGTAACACCATTAGATATATATATATATATATATATATATATATATATATATATATATATATATATATATATATATATATATATATAATGTGAAAATTACCTGCATGTATTATGGTAAAGGGTTCTGCTGAGTTGGTTGATGTCAGCAACTCCTTTACAACCACCAACAACTTCAAGAACTTGCCTAAAGAAAGATTAAAATTTAGAGTAAATTACTGAAATCGTCCCTGTGGTTTGGTTAAAATTGCACGTTTGATCCCTAACTTTTTTTTTGTACTTGGATCGTCCCTGTGGTTTGATTTTGTTGCGTTTTTCGTCCCTATGGTTTGGTAAAAGTTTCATGTTTGATCCCTAACTTTATGTATGTAAGGGACAAAAAATGCAACAAAATCAAACCACAGGGACGAAAAACGAAACAAAATCAAACCACAGGGACGATCCGAGTGTAAAAAAAAAGTTAGGGACCAAACGTGCAATTTTAACCAAACCACAGGGACGATTTCAGTAATTTACTCTAAAATTTAATACTATACGATTAAAAAAATTACACTTTTGGTCCCTGAGTATAGCTGAATTTTTCAATTTTGGTCCTTATTTGGGTTGTAACATTTTTTGGCCCTGTTACAAGTATATGACTAATTTTAACCACTCGGTTTAGCTGATTTGTGCATGTTTGGTCCCAAAAATATTATATTTTCCAATTATGGTCCTTGTTAGGGTTCTTGTAACGTTTTTGATCCCTGTTCCAAGTAGAACGACTAATTTCGGTCATCGGTTTAGCTAATTTATGCAATTTTGGTCCCAAAAAAGTTGTTTTTTGCAATTTTGGTCCCTATTCCAAGTAAAATGACTATTTTGGTCCTTGAGTATAGCTGATTATCGTAATTTTAGTCCCAAAAATATAGTTATCTTACTTGAAAATAGGTAACAAAACATTACAAAAACCTCAAATAAAGGCCAAATTTAAAAAAAATCAGATGCATTGAGACCAAAAATGTAACTTAATCTATACAATATCATAATCCAAAACAGTTAAACTTAAGATAATAAACATCATAAAAGTATAAAATATATGCCAAAAATGCCCTTACCGGATTAAACAAGGTTCATTTCGACCTTTGACTAGGCAATCTTGATCATATTTTTCTTTTTTCTTAGAAGGCCAGGTGGATTTTATAAAATTCTTTCCAGCATGAGTGTTTTTTATTTCACAATAAGGAGAATCTGTCTCGATCATCATTTTATCAAGAGGGATACCCTTTAACGCATCAAGATTTTCAGGTGTTTTCAGAGAGCAACCGTTTATACCTGTTGTTTGAAGAAATATTAAATGTATTAAAATTTGGAATTTGTATAATTTTTGTATGTATATATATATATATATATATATATATATATATATGGTTGACCTATAAAGAGATTGTTGAATGCCAGAAGCTTGTCACGATCTTCAGGAGTACCCGTAAATGAGTGGGCAACTCCACCATAGAACCTGTCACATAATGAAAAAAAGCAAATGAAATTATGAAGGAGTACACATGTTTTAAGTTTCACTTGACAAATTATCATTTATAGTTATACAAGTGTTTCATAAATATAAACCAGTATCATAATAACTTTACACTCATTTTTCGTAAATATAACCAAAATCATCATACCAATCTTTTTCAAATGAGGAGTTGAGCCATCAAAAGTTCCCCACCATTTTGCTATAAATTTTGAACATAAACTTGGAATAAATTGATATTTTTAATTTTTCTTAAGAATAGATAACTAAAAATAAAACAGATTGATCGGATCAAAGTTGTCATCACTCACCTCACATGCTTTAACTTTTAGATCCATTTTTTTTATTCTTGTACTTTGGCAACTCAACGATTAAGATTTGTTTATGCATCTCTAAATCTCCCAAAAATCAAGAACTGCTTCCATTACATCAAGTCATCATCTTAAACCATTGGATCTTGATAATAATAAAGAGAACTTAAAAGATACACTGCCAAATGTAGATTGGAATTTGAGTTATCTTTCATCTACAATAATATGATATCCATGATAGATAGGTCCCTATGCTTTACCATCAAAAATAGGAACAAAAACTTTTTTTTTTTTTCTTCTAAAAATCTAAAAATCAATTATGTCTATTGTCACTGCATTGGCTTGCGTTGCAATTCTAGAATAGCATTCTTTCTTCTTCATTTTCCGCAATCCTATGAAACGCTTCTAAAACACAGACTACGATTTCTTTCTATTTGTTAGGAGTTTTTTTTGCCATTGCATCGGGTGCCAACTTCTCTAAACAGTGTTTATTAAAATATTTAGGACTTAAAGCAAACCCAAAAAAATGAAGTGGGATTGTCATTTTCTCCCCCATCTAATGTTATCTGAATATATTCCCTATATGTAACATGTTGCTATTTGGTAGAAAAGTAGGTAGGTAGGTAAACAGGTGTCATAGATATCACACTATCACAAAATGTATCAAAACAAACTAAAGCATCAACAACCATATTAATAAGCATAGCTTAGTTTATGGGCAAAGATCCATCCATCATACCTGTATTTGTTTTGTTCAAGAATCTCACAGAAATCCCCAGCAGCTGCTCGCATATGAAGAAACATTGGAAGCTTCATGACATGTGCTAATTCAAACTGTCTCTCAAAGTACCTAGTGATAAGATAACAATATATATGAGAAAAAATGAAAAAAGACAAATTGTATATAACTCATATATGCTTACTTCTTTTGAATCTCTGGTGAACAAAAGTGAGTTCTGTCATAATCCAATCCACATTCACCAATTGCCACTACCTTTTTGAAACATATAAAAGTTCAATAAATGTTTCATCAATTTAGACACTAAAGCATATAAATCTATAATGTTCATATTATCTTACCTTTCCTTTCTCAACTCCAACTTTAGCCAACGACAATAGTGCTTGGAAATGCTTTTCTGGATCTCCACTCTCATCAAACTCCTGAACAAGAAAAAAACAAATCATAACTACAAGTATCTTTATGTTCATGGAAAAAAGAATGTATTCACAATTCACAAAGAAGAAATGCCCACATTGCATCTTGTTGGATGCACTCCAACTGTACAGAATAGTCTTGCTGCAACAAACATTGCATCATCAAATACTAAACCACTTCAACTATCTAATGAAAAAAATCCAATCCAATCCAATCCAAATATCCAATACTATAAAATTGGTAAAGATATGTTGCAAAATCAAGCACACACATTGACTAACCATCAGTTTCTGCAATAGCTAAAGCTTCCCTTGACTCCTCAAGTGATCCTCCTGTCACCTGCAAAAAAGGCGTCTCCTCAGTGATCAGAACATGGACAAAGAGAATTGTTAGAATTGTGTGCACTGATAGAAATCATATGAGTTATTGGTTTTTATTTCTATCGATTAGTAAATATATGTCGATTTCTTCAAGTGAATTGAGTTTTCATCGGAAAGTCAAAGCGCTATAAAATCACCAGAGATGAACGATTAAATGCAAAGCTTACTATAATTCGATCAACGCCAGCGCTCCAAGCCCTAGTTAAAACTGCTGCAATATCAGGTAAATGGCATTGTTTTCCATTATATACACCCTTGAACATGCTATCTGCATCGATAAATTGAAAAAAATCAACCACTAAGAAAAGTATTAAGCTTTTGAACCTCGTAATACAATTCGGTGTGAAATAAACTAACCTGTGAAGTTGACGGCAATGTCTGTTCTAAAATTGAAGCGGAAAAAGCAAACAAGGTATAGATAATGTTAGTAAATTAAGCAGTGAGGGTAAGAATTAGGGTTTATACACAAAGAAAGGATATAATACGAAGTAGAAGAGCCATGCCTATCATTCGAACTGTCGCCATGGATTAACCTCAAGAGATAATCGTCGGGATGTTTGGTTTGCACTTTGCAGTCCGAATAAGCTCTTGTGACTTCTGAGTTTTGGGGTCCAGCAGGAATTGAATTTGTGAGTTTTAGTTGCTGTTTCTTTTTGTGAAAGCTGAGTTAGCAACTTTGGGATAATGACTTAAAAAGGAATATGGTTTATCGAGTTTTTCTTTTTATATTTTTCCCTTCAACTTGTTAAACTGTATATACTTAGTCTTTATGACCGGTTACTCCGTTAGCCCGTAAAAATGATTTAATAGGGTAATATATTTCTCACTTTGTACATATTTAGTCCTTAATATTTTTGTACACATTCAATCCTTAATATTTGTTTTTTTTGTAAAATAATTCATTTTTGTTTTTGTATTAATTCAGTACTTATGAATGATTTCTTTAGGTTTTTTTCTCACGACATCTTATATGGGATAGTCATATGGTAATGAGATAGGTTAAGGTGGTCATGCTATATGTTGTAGGCCAAGATACCTGGTGCGGGTCGGTTATAAACTATAGGCACAGAGACTCGAGAAGAGCGATTGGGTTAAGCCGGCTTGCCAACAAACCTTGGGTATTCCAGTCTGATGACTGATTGGACCTATTGCATGTTGGCATTCCAGTCTGATGACTGATTAGGCCAAGGTATTCCAATCTGATGAGTGTGGGTTCGTTATGCATGATAATACGTTTGTTGTATCGAGTATTTTGAGGGAAACTTCCTAAATTTTATGTTTACCTAGTTGTTTATGTTTTCAGGTTCTATCCTTGGTCGTGGAAAGGAAAATTCATGAATGTACACACTCATCAACAATATTGAGGATTCCACATTTCTTATATTACTCTGATTTTCAATAAATGTATTTTGGAATAGACATTTTTTCTTAATAATGGATTTATATTTAGGGAGTTTTGCCTTATTTAAAAACGAAATTATTTTGTTGTGAAAACGAGACATTACACATAAATATACACAGACCCACACACTTCATCAATGATTGTCCCACGTAAGATGTCGTGAGAAAAACCTAAAGAAAACATTTATAAGTATTGAATGTGTACAAAAATAAAAATGACTGATTTTGAAACAAAAAAATATTAAGGACTAAATGTGTACAAAAATATTAAGGACTAAATGTATACAAAATGATAAATATATTACCATATTAAGTTATTTTCCCAGCTAACCTGGAGTAACCGGTCATAAGAACTGAATGTGTACAGTTTAACAAATTGAAGGGATAAATGTGGACGAAAAAAATACTTAGTGACCAAATGTATACAAATCGAATAATATATTACCCTTTTAAGTCATTATCCCGCAACCTTTACATAGAAAGCAAACAATAAGAAAGTATGATTCCTTTTTTTTTTAGCATCCACAAATATTAAAGAATTAAAACAAGTTGATTTTATAAATTAAAAATAGTTTTTTAATACCAAAAAATTAATAATATATGACAATTTGTCAATAATTTATATTATTTCATCAAAAAATAATAATAATTCATAAAAAATAAATATATTTTAGCAAAAAATAATGATATTTCATCAAGATATAATCATTATTCAATATAAAAAAACGAAACAAAAAATCAACAAGAATAAAAAAACCGAAAAAAAAGTGAAATAAGATTTCAGCAACATGAAAAAAAAAGGTTGGAATAGTCAATACAAGTGTTACATCAAACAGAACACGCGCAACGGTTTTTTTACTCCGAAAACTTCTAAAAAACAAACAACTGCGATATGAAAAGTGTTGCACGTGTGCTACATCGCACAACAATAAGAGATCTGAAGAGGTTTTTTCCAAAAAACAAACAGAATATTAGTGTTGATTAGAGCATCTTCATTTTTTTAATTATGACTTATTATTATTAACTTTTTTGGTAAGCACTTTTTTTTTCTTGGAGTATATAGTTTTTTTGTTTTTTTAAATAGGTAATGAAAATCTAACCCTTATCTCTTTAGTAATTACTATCCATTTAATTATATTAAAGTTTTATATGTTTTTTTACTTTTAGCATTTAAAAAAGAATTTCATTTATATCCTTATAAATTTTTATAATTATATTTATATGCTTGTAAAATTTTGAATTACATTTATATCCTTATAAACCTGATTCTTTGAAGCTTCATGTTTTTCATAATCGTTTAGAAAACTCGATGATTAGATATTCCTAATTGATTGTTCAACAATACATTTAATTTTCTACTATCGATTTAGGAAACCTGCACTTATTATCTTCTAAAGAATTTGTTTTTTCTCTGATTCTTTCGTTATAGGTAAATCACAGAAAAGCTAATTTCAATGTGGGTGTCGATATTTTGTAAGGATTAATGAAGTAAATAGGTTTAGAATAGGAATGTGGGAGAAAGGTAGCATTGTAATGTTATAAGTAAATTATTTTGTTAATATTAAAAAGTCAACTTAAAGATGGTTTTTTTTTATTTTTTTAATATATTAAATATGATTAAATTAAGTATTTGGGTGTATATGTAAGTTTATAGATCTTATAAAGACATACATGTAATTTGAAGTTTTATAATGAAATATAAACCAAGTTATGAATGTTTATAAAAATATAATGAAATTCTCCCTAAAATAAATGTTAACTCAACATTCCTTAAATAATGACCTCCACATAAATTATCACTCTAATTGTTAAGCTTATTTACATAGTTTTTTAATACCCCCCCCCCCCTTCCCTTCCCCCTCTTTCATTTACTTATTTATTTAACAAAAATCATATGTTAATATGAACGTATAAATACAATTATATCGGTTTTTTATTAGTATACGTAAAATGCGAGAAAAAAAATGTTATGTTAGAATTAAAAAATAAAATAAAAACATTTGAAAACATTATGTTATCTTTATAAAATATATATTTTATAAATTACATTTCATCAGATAATCTATAGAAGTAATTAATTAGTAAATAAATAAATATTAAATACTAAATTATAGTTAAAGTGGTAATGAAATATCATTAAAATATAAGGGGTTAGATGTACACCTTATGAAAGTATAGTTACTCATATATTGAGTGGTAAAAAACAAAAAAGTTATGTAGTCCAATAGTATTAAGGCTCTGAATGTTTAGATCTTAATGTCTCTTAAAAAGAGGCACGTAGTGTTTGGCTAGCACTTAATTTATCCTCTTAAATGGGAAAAAATATATAACTGAATCATATGAAAACTCACATTTAAAAAAGAAAAAAGAGCATATGTATCTTATTTTCGTGTAGCCATTCTGTCTGCTTTTTCCCCTCGCACATTGATCGTTGCACACTCATTCCATGTTGTATGTGTACCTTACATTTTTTTTTTAATGTGAAATATCATGAATTATTTTGGTTTTATGTTTGCAATCGGTTTCACCTACACACAGTTGAATGCATTTGTACGATGGATGACAAAGATGCTTAAGATTTTCCCTCCATAAATACACATCATCTTCATCTTCTTTGGGACTCCATGATTGGTCACATGTTTCATGATTATATAACTAAAATATGTGCATGTGTGTTGTGGTCTACTACATGTTCAATGAAATTCTTAGTAGAAAAAGTATTGGGCTAAATTTGTAACAGTGGTTTATACTACATGTTCGATGAAATTCTTTGCCAACATCACCCAATATTTTTATCTATTCAAATGTTGTTTTTTTAAATTTTGTTATTGTCATCGTATCATCTATTAATTTACTCAAGGGGATCCAAAGGCCAAAAATAAGCATAAGAAATATATGAAAGGGATGGGAAAAATTAAGAAGTCCAAACAACCCCTTATCACACATCACAAATATTGTTTCCTCTAGAATTGGTGTTTAACTAGATTGGAAGAGTAGTCCTTAAATACCATAAATCTCTTGTATTATGTATTTAATACATTTATATCAAACTGATTGCACAAATATACATTTGATATGGGTCATATGACAGGCCAAACAACTCGTTCAAAAAGATCAAGCCTTTGGAAAGCTAAAAGAAACCATATAATGTAGGACATTTGTGAGGTGAAACAAAGAGTGTATTAAAGACTACAAGTATAGATTTTTACTGATTTCTTTATTATAGCATCATACATTCACCTCTTTTTATTAAAGCATTGTATTTTGAAAAAATATATTTAGACAAAATTGCAAAAGTGGTCCCCGTGGTATGCATTTTTTAGGGTTTCAGTCCAAACTTTGATTTTTTTGGATTCATGGTCCTTTTGGTCTAGTTTGTACGTAAAATTGGTCCTACGACTTAACTTCCGTTAAGTTGTTGTTGCTAACCCCCTAATGTGCCTCCCACATGAGGGTATATTTGTCTTTTCACTTCTAAGGGACCATTTTTGCATCTAAAAAAATATATCCTTTTTTAAAAAAAAAATACTTATTTATTTATTTTAATAATTAAAAAATAAAAGAGGTCTATCTCTCTCTCTCACACACACACATCGTCTTCTTTATTACAAATTACATCTTCCTTTCACAAATCAAACCACATACATACACACTTTTCCACTTGCATACAAGGTCCAAAATCAAGGTTTTTCTGTGTTTTTTGTTCAAAAAAATTTGAAAAGATGATTATACCCTTTACTTTCTTTTTTATATTTTTTTTTAGTTTTGAACATACTATTTTAATTTAAAAAATTATTATTATTATTATCCCC